TGACACTGTCTAACCATCTCATCCTTTGCCGTCCCCGTCTTCTTTGACCTTCAATCTTTCCCAGCATCAGGGTCTTCTCCAGTGAGTGCTCCCTTCTCATTTGGTGGCCAAAGTATTTGAGCTTCAGTTTCATTATCTGGCCTTCCAGGGAACAGTCAGGGTTGATTTCTTTGAGGATTGACTGATTTGTTCTTCTTGCAGTCCAAGGGACTCTCAAGAGTCTTCTCCAGCACCATAGTTCAAAAGAATCTATTCTTCAGTGCTTGGCCTTCCTTATAGTCCAACTCTCGCAGCCATACATGACTACTGGGAATACCATTGCTTTGACCATGCGGACTTTTGTTGGCAGGGTGATGTCTCTACTTTTTATCATGCTGTTTAGGTTCGCCATCGCTTTCCTCCCAAGGAGCAGGCGTCTTTTAATTTCATGGCTGCTGTGATCTGGGATCCCAGGAACGTGAAATCTTTCACTACTTCAACGACTTCCCCTTCTATTTGCCAAGAAGTGATGGGATCGGATGCCATGATCTTAGTTTTCTTGATGTTGAGCTTGAAGCCCACTTTTGCGCTCTCCTCTTTGACCCTGAGCAAGAGGCTCTTAAGGTCCTCTTCACTTTCTGCCATTAGAGTGGTATCGTCTGCATATCTGAGGTTGTTGATCTTTTTCCCAGCAATCTTAATTCCCGCTTGTGATTCATCCAGGCCAGCATTTCGCATGATGTACTCTGCATATATATTAAATAAGCAAGGTGACAATATACATCCTTGTCGTACTCCTTTTCCTATGCTAAACCAATCAGTTGTTCCATATCCGGTTCTAACTGTTGCTTCTTGAGCCTTATACAGATGCCTTCTGAAGGTAATTAAATGCCTACTGAGCTGTCTTTTCCCATGATCCCCTGCAAAAAAAATCCACAGTGGGAGGGAAAGGGAAGCCCGAGGGCAAGACCTACAAAGTTATTCTCTTGGCTACTGCCAGCAGTTGGGTTTTTTGGGGGGGATCTCTCCTCAAAAATTAGTTTTCTAGCATGGCTAGTTGTGGGGCGGGGTTTTTAATTAAGGGGGCAGGGCCCCTAAACGCCCCACTGTAGCGACGGGCCTGGCATACACACGAAAGTTTATCCCCAGAATTAAACTTTGTCGGACTTAAAGGTGCCACCGGACTCAGAACGTCATCCTGTTGCTTCAGTTCAACACGGCGACCCACCTGAAACGGTCCGTCCCAGGGAGGAGTGATAAACATTTGAGTCAGAGTTCCAAACTGGTAACATGGTCATGAGTTTGGGCTGTTATTAGAGTTCTGCCTCCGCTGGCAGGGACCGCCGTGACCTTGGAAGTGTTACTTTCTGCTGAGGCTGATAAATCTGCCTCGGGGAGAGAGACGGTGTTCATTACCATTTGTCAAGGAGGCCCCACGTAACAAAGAATTCCTGATTACCTGAAGTTCTTCCTGTTCGCCTAGCCGTTAGCTGAACAATTTAATCTCCGAAAAGCTCTTGTACCTGTCACCGCCGGGCAGCCAATTTTGCTGAATTATGGACGCCCGTTTTGCTGATTTGTTGTGTCAGTCCTTTTCAATTATGCCTTCTTAGCATTCATTTAACATGGCACCATGATATTAATCCTGGTCCGTGGCTACACGCTTAGGAACAAAATATCACTAATAATTCCCCTGTGTTTCTTTTTTGCCCTTTCCTTCTTTAATCTATCAAACTCTGAATCTTGGATGCTGAAATAAATGGTAGGTTTTGTGTAATTGGCTTGCTTGGGTTGGATTAGACTATGTTGTTGTTGTTGTTGTCGGCTAGTCAAACAGGAAGCATCTCTCCAAAGCATGAGGGTGTCAGCGTCAGGTACTGGGAAAGTACAATTCAAGGAGATGTAAAAGGTAAAGGTTCCCTTGCTCGAAAGCCAGTCGAATCCGACTCTAGGGTTGCGGTGCTCATCTCCGTTTCAAAGCCGAAGGAGATGAGTTGGTGGTAAAGTACTCAAGCCTTTTTAAGAAGCACATCACTAGTAAGGTAAAGGTAAAGGTTCCCTTGCTCGAAAGCCAGTCGAATCCGACTCTAGGGTTGTGGTGCTCATTTCCGTTTCCAAGCCGAAGAGCCAGCGCTGTCCGAAGACGTTTCCGTGGTCATGTGGCTGGCATGACTAAACACCAAGGCGCACAGAACGCTGTTCCCTTCCCACCGAAGTGGTACCTATTTATCTACTTGCAATTTCTTGCTTTCGAACTGCTAGGTTGGCAGGAGCTGGAACTAGAGACGGGAGCTCACTCCATCATGCGGCACCCGGGTCTCGAACTGCTGAACTACTAACCTTCCACAGCCTGCAGTTCAGCGTCTTAACCACTTGAGCCACCGCAGCTCCTTTTACATCATCACTAGTAGCGGCGGCCGAATTAAACAGGAGTCCAGTGCCACCTTAAAGGCTTTTTGCTGCTGCAGGCTTAAGATGGCTACCGATCTGACATTTAAGTTTTAAAACAGGGCTTGATAGCAGCTAGAAATTCCATTGCGGCGCCTGATATTTTCTGCAGTCGTTTTGAATCAGAGGTCCATCAGTGGCTATTAGCCACAAGGCATAGAGAGGAACTCTCGGTTTGGGGCAAGTGATGCTCTGTCTTCTTGGTGCTTGGGAAGGGGGGCAACAGTGGGAGGGCTTGTGGTGTCCTGGCCCCACGGGTGGACCTCCTGGTGGCACCTGGTGTTTTTGGCCACTGTGTGACAGAGTGTTGGACTGGATGGGCCCATTGGCCTGATCCAGCATTAGATTCTCCTGTGCTCTTATGTTCTTATTCTAGTAAAGGCCCCTTGTTGATTGTCAGTAGAAATACAAAGCACCTTCAGGTGAGAGACGGAGGTTAGCTTTTTCTGTGTGTGCGGTGACAACTGGTTTTGTTTTTGCCATCACGTCACTGTTGGGCAGGAACGCACAGGAACGGAGTTCCGGCTGGCTCCCGAGTTGGCCACGCCCAGGAGGAACTCATTAGCATAACAGGCCACACCCAACAGCAGAAACTCATTAGGATTGGCTACATTAGGGGTGTGTGGCCTAACATGCAAAGGGGTTCCTGCTCCAAAAAGAGCCCTGGGTTTTGACAACAAACAAGGTAAACAGAATAAGAAGCAAAAGGTGGGTGTGGCTGGATGAGCACACTTCTGAAAACATGGCGGGTGTGGCCTAATGTGCTAATAAGCTGTGCTGTCAGGGGTGTGGCTTAATATGCTAATGAGTTTCTGCCATTGGGTGTGGCCTATTATGCTAATGAGTTCTAAAAAAAAAGCCCTGGTTGACTCAACGGTGACTCCGTAGGGTTTTCAAGACAAGAGGCGTTCGGAGGTGGTTTACCATCACCTGCCTATGCGTTGTGACCCTGGTATTCCTTGGTGGTCTCCCCATCCAAGTAGTAACCAAGGCTGACCCTATTTAGCTTCTGAGATCGGAGGAGATTGGGCTAGCCTGGGCTATTCAGCTCAGGGCACTTCGTTTTTATGTACACACCTTTGACGTGTCCGTTAAGTTCTCTCTGACTTCTCTCTGTCCTCCAAAACCTCCTATCCAGGGCTATTTTTGGGCAGGAGCGCGCAGGAACGGAGTTCCGGCTGGCTCCCAAGTTGGCCACGCCCAGGAGGAACTCATTAGCATAACAGGCCACACCCAACAGCAGAAACTCATTAGGATTGGCTACATTAGGGGTGTGTGGCCTAACATGCAAGGGGTTCCTGCTACAAAAATAGCCCTGGGTTTTGACAACAAACAAGGTAAACAGAATAAGAAGCAAAAGGTGGGTGTGGCTGGATGACCACACTTCTGGTAACATGGGGGTGTGGCCTAATATGCGAATGAGTTTCTGCTATTGGGTGTGGCCTATTATGCTAATGAGTTCCTGCTGGGCCTTTTCTACAAAAAAAGCCCTGCTCCTATCCATGAACAAACCTCACTTAGGTCATGCAAACTGAGGGCTGTAGCTTCCTTGATTGAGTCAATCCGTCTCATGCTGGGTCTTCTTTTCCTTCGGCCTTCAACGTTTCCTAGCATCATTATCTTTTCCAGTGACTCTTGTCTTCTCATAATGCGAAGTATGATAACCTCAGTTCAGTCGTTCTAGCTTCTAGGGAGAGTTTAGGCTTGAGTTGATCCAGAACCCCCTGATTTGTCTTTTGGGTAATCCACGGGATCCATAAAACTCTCCTTCGACACCACTTGTGAATTCAGTGTCCCCTCTAAGCTGAGTGAGTGTGAGCTAGCTCACGGTTTTTTAGCCTCTGGCTCACACATTTTTGTCTTAGCTCAGGGAGGGTGGCTCCAGAGCGAAGTAATTTATGCAGTCGCCAAATCGCTCGCTCACAGCTTTAATGCCAATAGCCCGCAAGATAGAAGTTTTGCTCACAAGGCTCCACAGCTTAGAGGGAGCATTGCTTGTGATCGCTTTTAAAAAGGACAAGAAATTATGGGGAGTTTAGAATTAGGTTTTGCGGTAGCCATGATTACAACACATGGTTATGAAAATATGAAAAGGCTGAAAAATAAATCTGGCTCCTAAATCTTTTAGGGCAGCTCGTAAAGCCAAAGAAAATTGGCCAAGGCCTGTTTTAAAAGGCTAACGGTGCTTAGATAGCCACTGAGTGATTTATTTTAAGGCTCTGCCCCAATCAAGGGCGTATATTTTCCTTCCCTTTCTACCGCTTTGTTTAGCATGGTGCAAACAAACAGTGGGTTGGAGCTGATAGCGCTTGGTTTGCTCTAGATTGGGGGGGGCAGATATGTGTCTCATCTTCAGCAGCAAGCAGAGGAATTAGTAGAAAGTATTAGAGCAGGTTGTTCACGGCTGGAGGCTAACTAGTTCCATTTTGGCAGCTTGATAGAAAATTGGCGTAATCAGGGCTATTTTTGGGCAGGAACGCACAGGAACGGCGTTCCGGCTGGCTCCCAAATTGGCCATGCCCAGCAGGAACTCATTAGCATAATAGGCCACACTCAACAGCAGGAACTCATTAGGATTGGCTACATTAGGGGTGTGTGGCCTAACATGCAAAGAAGTTCCTGCTACAAAAAAAGCCCTGGGTAAACAGAATAAGAAGCAAAAGGTGGGTGTGGCTGGATGAGCACACTTCTGGTAACATGGGGGTGTGGCCTAATGTGCCAATGAGCTGTGCTGTCAGGGGCGTAGCCCAATATGCTAATGAGTTCCTGCTGTTGGGTGTGGCCTATTATGCTAATGAGTTCCTGCTGGTTTTTTTCTACAGAAAGAGCCCTGCGTAAAATATAATCTGGCAAAGTTCGTTGTGTTTAATGCTAGCCTCCGGGCAAAACCTCTGCCTCCGCTTCACATTTTCCCTTTTCTCATGTTTCCGCAGCATCTTTCAGGGACGCCCTTTTCCTGCATCCGGAATGCCTCTCAAGACCCCTCAGAGCTCCACCTCAGGTTCCCCTGAGCAGGGGGATGTCTCCGTGGTTGTCATAGGCAAGCCCGGTGTGGGCAAGTCCGCCTTCCTGAACGCCGTGCGAGGGATGACAGAAGGGGATGTTGGATCCGCGCCCGTGGGTGCCCTACCTAAACCGGGGGGTCCCGTCATGTACCCCGATCCCTCCCACCCCAACTTACTGATATGGGAGTTGGAACTGGAGGGCGAAGGACAAGCGGAGCGATGGCTAGGGGAGGCGGACGTGTTTGTCATGGTGACGGATGGCAAGTTCGATGAGGTCCACGCCCGCCTTGCCGGGGAGGTCCGAGTGGCTGGCAAGAAAGTCTATTTTGCCCGGACCAAGGCCGACCTGGAGGTGCACACCCTCAAGCGGCTGATGGGCGAACGCTACGACCGGTCGGAGGTACTCAACGCTCTGCGGGGCGTCTGTGCTGAGTCTCTCGGGGCCCACGGCCTCGGGGAGCCCTTTGTGTTCCTGATCTCCGCGTTTGAGCCCTACGCGCTGGACTGCCCCCAACTGCGAGAAACACTGCTGAAAGATGTAGAAATATACGAGAGGTCAGTACAATGGCTTGGACGCTGCGGGAACCTTCGGCAGGGCTTTGCGGGGGCTGCGTTTGGGGGAAACAGGATGGGACTGTGGCCATGGTCCTAATTACAAGTGTGGGGGTGGGTGGGTTCCTCCCTCTAAGCTGTGGAGACTTGTGAGCGAAAATCCGACTTTGTGAGCTCCTGACGCTAAAGTTGTGAGCGAGCCAATTTGGCTACTGCATAAGTTGGTTTGCTCTGGAGCCCTCCTTCCTGAGCTAAGTCAAGAAGGTGTGAGCCGGAGGCTCAAAAACTGAGCTAGGTCACACTAATTCGGCTTAGAGGGAACACTGGTCGTCAGTGTTCCCTCTAAGCCGAATTAGTGTGACCTAAGCCGAATTAGTGTGACCTAAGCCGAGTGAGTGTGAGCTAGCTCACAGTTGTTTAGCCTCCGGCTCACACCTTTTTGTCTTAGCTCAGGACGGATGGCTCCAGAGCAAACTAATTGATGCAGTAGCCAAATTGCTCGCTCACAACTCGAATGCCAGGAGCTCACAAAGCAGAATTTTTGCTCACAAGACTCCACAGCTTAGAGGGAACATTGCTG